CATTAGACTAATTTGAACGCTAAGAACAATTCACCAATGTATAAAATTTAATGAGCTCTTCATTGAAACTTTTTTAAAAAACTAACATTTTACTTGACCAATTTTCTGCTTATAAAAACCTATACAACACTTCGTTTGTCGTACTTATAGAAATTAGAAACCTTGATAAAAGTACAACGCTCTTAAGCTAAATTAGCAATTAAAGTATTAATAGTTAACTAACTTATAGAAGTAGCCTCTACAGCTCCAAAGGTTAAGACTTTATGGTTATCATAATTTAAGTCTTCCAATAACAGCTTTACTTCATTTATCGTCTACATTAAAAAATTTTGGTCTCCTTAATACTTTTTTTTAATGAGCTTAAACTATCTTTAATTTAAACAATTTCCGATAAGGTAAAGGCGAAATTTTCTTTTCTTAACTTTAGTAATACATTAAAAAAATAAAGAGGCCTGTTTTACTTAACAAAAGTACACTATTCTGTAAAAATTTAAAAATAGGTTTACCTTAATACTATAAAGTGTGAAATTTTTTTTTTTGTGAAAGAATCTAGTTATATATGATAAAGTGTAACATGCTCTGATTTCTAAATAAAAATTTAGTAAATATAGAATTGTACTACTAAAACACAATACATTGAGAGAAGATCAGTAATTTAATTTATTACAAATTGTACTTATACAAAAAAGTTACGCATCTCAAGGGGATGAATTTTTAAAATTTTTAATAATTTACCATAGCAATTACTTTAATATTTATTTTTTTGTACTTAAATCCCTTTTACCTCTGTGATGCCGTCTGTAGTGCTGCCTTCTGGAATGAGCTGTAGAATATGAACGAGAGCATCCTAAAAATTCACAACTAAACTGTTTAGAAGGAAGATGAAACGAGTCTTCGTAGGTTTTATCGGCTTTGTTGAACTGTAATTGTTTGCTGGTAGTATTAATAAACTTTAGCATTTTTGTTTTTCGTAAGGGTTTATTCTCATCAGTTTTCAGGTAATAAATATTAATAGTTGTGTAATTTTCTTCATTTAGAGGCCATAATTCAGCTCTTTTTTGAGGAAGTTTTGTGTCTTCGAGGATATCTTGTTTCGTTAGAAAAGTTGGAATAGAACTTGTGAAATCATAGTTTCGCATTTGAAACGCTTTTTGAGGAATACAGGAAAAATCGCTGTTCTTGGCTTGGGTTTCATTGTGATCACTGAATTTTAAAGGGTGCGATATATCATACTCACGTCCCACTTTATTAGATTGAGAATGCCAAGTTATTTTTTTGTCTTTGACCGGTATAGGTTTAAATTTAAAAACGCTCTCAGCACTCTCAAGTTGTAAACTTGATTTATTTGGTAAGAATTTATGCCGAGAAACATCATGTTCTAGGTGCTCATGATAAACATATAGAATATCGCTTTTAAAGTCAGTATTTGTTTGGTTGTATAAAAACCGATTTGTAGCCCCTAGACGTGGATTATAACTATAGGCCTTCTGGTATGCATATTTATGATGCTTCGAAATAGACTCTTTTGACCATGCGTCTGCCTTTACGCTTGGAGTGTAAATAAATTTTTCCACCGGACTAGGTTGGCTTAGTAAGGAGGAGACAGAAAAAGAATTATCCGTTTTCAACATCACTAATAATATTAAATAAAGCAGGCTATGGGTGCCACTTTAGTGGACTTCATTATATACTTAACAAAATTTAACATAAATTTTATTACAAATAAGGAAATTATGTGATCAGTTTTCATATATTTATATGGCAAGCAGCCACTTGCGGAAAAAATAAAACGAGAAATAACAAATGGCGATAAAACCATATATAGTAATACCATTAAAGGTAAGGTAACCGTCTAGTTGAACAATCCTTTTTTGCAGTGTTAACGAAAACTTTTTTTATTGAACCACTAGAAAAAAGGCATTACCTGTGAAGAGACCCGTAGTCCTGCGACAAAAATCGATATAATAGTGCCGACCCGAGCGCCCTCTCCATATCCCTTTACTCGCAGCAAAGACAAGCACACACGCTTTAAAGAGTAAAACAGATTTAATACAAGCGAAAATAGTGGCTTTCCAGAGAAATCCTCTGCTAACACAGCAAAGTATAGAATATATAAATATCTTCTTACTGGAAAAGTCACTGTGGATTGTCTAAAGCATCGCTCTGCGGCTAGGACAAACTGAAGGGGCTAAATGTACCAACGCCTGGGAAGAAGCAAATGACTCCTCTTAACAATTGATAATGGACAAGCTTAGCAAGGTATTAAAGTCAGGCGAGGGGTACTCTTTCTTGCGAAAATTTGTTAAGCTGGGCCGGAAAAAGTACATTGCAAGGAGGGGGCGAATAAAATGTTTTTTAACATTGCTAATTTTAAAAAAGTTATTACTGCATAGGTAACCACGAATTATACAACTTAAAACGAGAAGATTGCAGCGTCTAATGAAGGTATATAATTGCTCTATTTCCTCATGTTTTTCCGTAAAAGCTATTAGATCCCAAGGAATTTTCTTGACAACCATGAAGCCCCAGTTTTCTTTCTACCCTTTCTCCCTTTTTCCTAGTTGGTCTATTAAAATCTTAATTCCTTATTAATCTAATAATTTCACCTTTTCTTTTTAAATTTAAAAGAAGTGATATAAATATATTAACTTGCTTAAAATTTTGATAAACAAAAGATACAGAATTATATTCTTTCAACATATAAAGCGCCTACCGAAGACTTATGCAACTACAATTCAAACGACCCGGGGTCTAATGCAATAAGTTTTCAAGGCTAAAAGGCCTTACACTGCGTTAAACAGAGCAATTAAAACAATAAAGAGTGACCGCGAAAAAAAACCAAAACGTTTATAAATAGGAGGCGTTAAGTTACAATTTTTACACACCTTGCCCTTTCTCCTTGTCATGAATTTATAATTGCTTAGTTAGATTTTATAAAGAAATTTTAGACATATTTAGAAAGAGTAACAGCCAAAGGGCGACTAAACATATAATTTAATAATGAGCACAATTTTCACAACTGAAACAAAAAGGATTTAATAATAAAAATGTGTCCTAGAAAAGTAAAAAAATTTATTAAGTACAAAAGCAAGCAAAGTGTTAAAGGTAGCAATTAAATAGTAATTTTAATTACAATATCAACGAATAACCCAGATCGGATTGTGTGTAACTTTACATATGATTAATAATAATAAAAAACCAAGTATAATTATAACTATAATTATTGTTCATAGGATTCTTTTTCTGAGCGCAACGTTCTGTCACTGTTCCGTGGGCGTTTATGAAAAAAATTAACTAACTGTTCGAAAGGATGAGATTGAAGTCGCGCACGTGAAGACAAAGAGCGAAATTTTCGCCAAGCTAAAGTTTAAAGGAAAAAGTGGAGAGGGAATCCTTTAGAATATTTCCACCTGAACTTCCCTAATATAACTGATACAAACTTTCAAGATGAAGTGCCCTACTACCAAACGCAATTAGATTTTGATTTTATGCGAAACTCTTACGCGGAAGAGCATTACAACTTCAAACCCCGGTGGTCAATATTTGTTATATACAGTACATTCCTTTCTATTAAAATTATCTAAAGCCCACACGCATATATATATATGTTAAGTTCGATATAATTATTAGCACTTAATTAGAGATTTATTTTAGTCTAATAAGCTGTGAAAAAAAAAATATTACTTAATCATCTAGAAGGTTAGTTAAGGACAGTGTTTTAGACTAGAAAGCTAAGTTTAATAAATTTTGTAGCCTACAGGCAGCAGTAATTGTTGATATACAAGACTAATAAATTAAAGAAGTGAGACAAAATATACTAAACTTAGCGCAGCAGGCCAGCAACTTTATTGGGAGGTGGCAGTGCTAAGCAGTTCAATAAAAAAATATAGCTTCTGCCTATTTTGTTCTACAACATAGAGCGCAGAAGATGGTAGAGAAGCATCCGTACACAACTGCCTGTACTTTGGGTAGAGCTGGCTGGGTACTCCTCTATTAAAGCAATATAAGGTAGTGGCCGTCGAGAGGGCTAAAACGCTGGTAACTGTCTCTGCGCCCTTTTTCATTTTGGCAGAGCTTGGTAAAGCGGTCAAACTGCTTTACTACTTAGTTACACTGCGCTCTTAGAGCTTTGCTGGAAAGAACATTTAGCAACGCAGAAGTCCCTCCGACTAACCAAGTTTATTCGGAAGGTTTACTCTGCAAAATGCGTATTCTAGCCGTTACTAAAAGGCCTTTTAGCAGCTGATTACCTTAAAAAAGTGATCGCGTCGCATGTTTTTCCCCCTTTTTCTAAACGCATTTATGTGTAAAAAGTGTTTTGGTGCGTTCATTTTAATATGCTTATATAACTTACAGAGTTAATAAAATTTTCTTAGTAAATTAAAAACACTGAACCGCGCCATGTAAAACTGTGTCAACAAAAATTTTAAGCTTTAATTCCAACTTAATCCCAGTCGGCTATGACAAAGTGTAGTCAATAAATAACGATTATTATTTTTAAAAGAGACAAGCTACTATTCCTATAACCTGTAAAAATACTTCGTTCGTGAAATCAAATTAAAACTGTAAAAAGTGCTGTAATCCAAAGGCGTGTTAATTTAAGTTGCCACCGCCACACATATTACCGCACGAATTTTTTTAAGTAAAAAAAGCTATAAATTACCAAGTAGGAGTAACAAAGTTTTTATTATAAAAAAAAGGTTTTAACAGAAAAATGTAAAACAGAAGGCACAATAAAAATACTTATTGTCATACGTATTAAACTCTTAACAGTGATAATAAAGCTACCAATTTTCTGTAGAAAAAACTTAAAATTGAATTCAGTCATCCTAAAACTGTATTATTTTCAAAAGTATATTTATTCTACGATAAAAAATAAATATATATTTCTGAAAATGTTAATATTCGCGCCGTACAATAGTTTTTTGAGTAAAAATTAATCAAAAAACTAAAATTAAACGCGATGAAGGAAACAGATTATTTATTTTTTCTAAGTAATTTTATTCTTGCTTTAGAGAACGAGCTTCAAGTCTTCGCTTATGAAGAAGTTCCTCGTAAGCGGCCTTCTTCGCAGCAGAAGCGATCCGTCGTTTAAGTTTAAAAGCTCGTCTGGCTCGCTTACGCTGTAAAGTCAACGGCGTCACAAGACGTTGGATTTTTGGTGACTTGTAGCGAACTTTTCCGTTCTTCTCAACTTTACGCTTAACAACGTACCGCCTCACATCCTCAGATTTATCTAAATTGAACATTTTGCGGATCTTAGAGGCTCGCTTGGGCCCAAGCCTAAAAAAAAAACACTATAAAAAAAATTTTATTTATTTAAATCGTACAAGCTGCCCAAACCTTTTAGGTTTGTGCTCGTCAAGTGGTTCAATAGGTTTATCACCTTCCTTTATGATGACGAGGTTAACGCAGGACAACTGATTGACGTCGAGGATGCAACCACGAACAGACTTTTTCTTCCTTTGGCCAGAACGTCTCTCCCTGTAACATTTACTTCCTTTCTTCATTAATAATTTTACCCTCTGATTCGTTAAAACGCCCTGTAAAAGAGGAAATCCTACAAAAAATAAGCAATTAAAAAATTTATAATATTGTCTAAGTCAAGAAAGTAAAACCTTGCTTATCGTTGCCTCCAGATATCCGAAAAATGTATCCTTTCCATTCGGGGTTAATTGCTTCACCGTACACTTCTTGAGAGATTCGTTTTTCGTTAAAAATTGCAAGTTTTTTATCATCGTTACATTCAAAGGCTTTTTGTGTTCCATGTGCAGGATAAGAAATGTTTAACTATAAATAGAAGAATAAATATTAATTAAATAAAGAGAAAGAGGTCTACTAGCTCAAAACTCAAAATATAAAAAGGTAAGGAGTGCTCTATAGGAACCTTCATATTGAAAAAATACAAACGAGAGAGGAAAGGAGAACGAGCGTGGAGAATACTAATACAAGCACGCGTCCAAAGTTTGAGGGGTTTCTTTACCGAAATGTGGTCCTCCGAGGAGTCTGCCCGTTCTGCTCCTTTTCACTCCTTTTTATTTATTAGAGCGTACTTAGATCTAGAATGTTCTTATCTTTTTCTATAGGTTATTTTTTTGTTTTCAAAGTTTAAGAAATTTCCGCCTTTGAATTGCAGATTTATTTTATTAAGTTTTTGCCAGGCTTTCCTTTTTCATATATTCGTTATTAGTTAACGTTGGAAAGCCTTTATTCTTGTAGTAGACAATAACTAAGTTTTCTATGGAATTTAAGTTAATACTAAGGTTATGTGTATGTTAAACTGTTATATATATGGTAGTTAGAAACAGGTTTAGAACTGTTGTTTGAAGAAAAGCTACAGAGATTCGCATCTGTTTGTGATAAGTTGCTAATTCATTTAAGACCGAGCAATAGTAAAAAGCCTAATTGAATACGATCTTTTACAATAATTGCGCTTGCTTTATGAGGAGCAACTCCCTCTGTGTATGGGCGTTGTAGCAAATTCACTGGGAGCTACCAATTAGTTGTCCTCAATTTTTAAGTTTGAAAAAAGCTATGCTTAGCGATGTTTCTTCTTTAGTAAACTAAATGACTACTTATATTTCAAAGAAAGTCTATTATATATTATATAACTTTATGAATATATATTTTATTATTAAACGTTATTAAAAATTTAAATTGAATTAAAAAACGTTAAAAATTTTTAAAACTGAATTGACCCTTAATTGGTTAACTGTATAAACATGTAGGACAGTGTCCCTGAGCTAAGGTCTACTACTAGTGGGCGTTATCTTCCCCATACAACATGAGCACTTTTTACCCATTCTTTCTACTTACAAGCCCAAGCGGCAATATCGTCTTGTAATATCTTTAATCTAGTATGCCCCCCTCTTTTGATTCTAATCTTAATAACTCTTTTACCATCCAACTTACTTGTACTTCTTACAGTCACTCTGTTTAGCAAGCAAAGACTCCTTGGCTATTTATGATAAAGGACGTGTAAGCTTTTTCCTGTATAAGCTTAAGTCTTTATAAAGCAAACCAAAAAGTGTGTTTCTTTTGATAAAACCTTTTAAACTTAAAACATTGAACTATGACTAGCCATTTTTTTAGTCAACAGAAAAAATAAATAACTTGCACACAAAATATTTGTGGTTTTAAAACTTGACCTCACTTTATCAACGGCACTTCTGTTCCAATATATATTTATTACGTTTTAACTCGCTGCTATGCCAATTTTTACGTCCACACTTCTGTTAGTCTACCTGCCGAATCGTTTCGGCTTGGCAGTTGAGGGTTTTGGACAGCCCTTGCTTTCAAAAGAATAACTTTTTGCATGCATTCTCTAAAACATAAACATTATTGCCTTTTATTATTTTTGTTATAACAGAATATTAATGGGGTAATGTTTTTTTAGGGGCCATTTTACTTGTAACATTACCTATTATCTTATAATAAAAGTAAAATTTGTTTATTATCAATAGCTGAAATGTCGTATAATTCTATGGAGACTGTGAACTCGCTTAAAAAAATTTTAGTAAAATTGACTGAGAATGCTCAAGAAGAACCTTTGGTGTTTTATATGTTTACTCAGTTTATTTAAATTTCATTATTACATAGATTTTTCAATACTTTTATAATTATATTATTATTAAAACATAGGCTTATCCTAAAATCTTAGATGTTTTAGACAGACTTTCTGAAGTAAAAGTTGACTATAAAGTTCTTAAGGTGTTTCCACTTTTAAATGCAATTAAAGTTTGTTATAAGAAAATGATTTATATTCGTTTCAGGAGACAAAAGTTGGCTTCCTTTTGAAGAAATTGCGAAATAGCAATCCTCCCCCGGAAATCTCAAAAAAAGCAACTTTTATTTAGATAAAGATAAACGTTTATCTCACTTTTATTAATATTTTTAGTTAAAACAAATAATTTCTCATTGGAAAGCGATTGTAGAAGTAGAGAAAAAGAAGCATTTAACAGAGAAGAAAGAAGAAGAGACTTTACAGAAAAAGTCTTCCGACAGTAAATTAGAAAATTTAACTTTATTTTATTGGTTTACGAATATTTGCTTCAGAAACTTTTTTAGATTATTATTCATTCTAGTTATAGAATTGTACATTCAAATTTATAAACATTTTTACATCAAAATACTTTTTAATATTGATAATTTCAGTTATACAAAACTTTTGCACATATATTGTCTTATAGAATATACTAAATTTAATTTTTTATCTCGAAATAATTAGTTTATTTTTTAGTTTTAAATCTTTATTTATAAATTTTTAGCTACTGCTCTCCAAGTGAGGGCTGCTACTGAGGATACACAAAGTTACTTTACTCTCTTATTCCATTGAATTTTGCCATAATAATTAATTTAGCAAAAAAAAAATTAAAAGCCGACACAATTCCTAAGCAGAAAACTGGCAGTGCACAAAGGGATCTTTTTATTAAACAAGTTTGTAATTAGTTTAAATTAATAATTGCATCACTTTAGTTTTTATTAGATTTTTATTTTTTAATTCAGATTGTATATTTTTATTGTTTATATTAGTTATAAAGAGTTTAATTAGAATTCATACATATATTTTTAGATTTTTCATCTAATTTAAGAAACCTTTGTAGACTTTTTTTCAGTGAATTTAGTTTAATTTAAAGTTTCTATGTCTTTATTTTTTTTTTGTAACTTCTGTTAATTATTTAATTAAAAAAATCTCTTCCAGCTGGTAGCGATTTTCAATGGGGAGAAACAAGGAAGTCAGACCGATTTCGTAAGCGTCGCTGTAGAAGTAGAGAAGGCGTTGTTTCAGCGCTATAACTCAGCAGGTTTGAAAATAAAATGTAGATTAAAATTAATTTAGAATTTAACTTGTGTAGATTTTTTTTAGAAAGATTTTTTTTTTACTTAAAAAGAAAATAAATTTCATAGGCATCAGCTATAAAAATGCAGCCATTGCTAGAAGAGCTTGCTTGAGCGAAAATTCGCAACTTCGGTTTGTATTTTTACTATTATAGTAATTTATTTTTATGAAAAATTTCTATGAACGATTTATAATTTTTAATTAAATTTTGTTTTTATTTTTATTTTCTTAATAAATCGTTAAATGCTTTTATATTTATAATAAAATTTTGTTAAATAGATTTAGTATAGTCATTATTTCTATTTATATTATCAACACAATTTTACATATTTACTTTTTTTTTAATTTTACTTTTAAATTTTGTTTATATCTTTATTATAAAAATTCATATAGTTTCAGTTAATTTTAAAATTTTCTATAATTTGTAATATATTAATATAACTTAATTTTAAAAGTAAACTCAATATTTTTTTATTGATGTAATAAATAGATTAATTATATATTATATTTTTCAGGGTTTAATTTATAAATTATTATTTTTTTTATTGGTAACATTTTTGTTTAATCTTTTATTTTTATATATATAGTTTTAATTAAAGCTCAACTTTAAAATATATCTTATATCTTTGCGATTATCATACAATGAATATTATTCTCATTTTTATTGTAAATCGATTTTTTATATTGTTTTTCTTTTTTAATTTTTTTAATTTATTCATTACATTGTTATGTTAACTTGTAATTTTTTTAATAGTGGCTTTTATATTTTATTATTAAAATATTTTATTTTTTGTAACATAATTACTTGTTTAGATTTTTTAATTCATAATTTAATTTTATTTTTTTAATTTAAAAATTTTTTTTATGAATGAAAAGTTTATTACTTTTGTTTCATAAATTTATTATTTTTTATTTTCTACAATTTGAATTTTTACTTTTTACTTTCACTATAAATTTATAATTTCTTTTATTAATATTTATTACAACTCGAATTTTTTTAATTTTTAATTTTTCACATAACCAATATAAATTTTTTTTTGCAATTTACTAAGTATTTCTCTAAAATTTGAATTTTTATTTATTTATTATTATATTCTAAATTTTTCAGCTTTAAGGAAAAATTTATAATTATTATATTTTTTATTCTGATTCTGACCTTCTATAGGCAACTGCTCCTGTCTGGCGCGTTGTCTCCCTGCGAATTTGCTAAGATGAGCCCTGAGGTCGTCCGGCCACGTGTAGCCCCATCTCTGCATTTTTATTTAGTTTGCCGAGTTTATAGGAAATGGAGACCAACGACTTGAAAGCAGCCAAAAAAGTTGCAAAGGAGAAACTTTTGCACAGCTGCAAAGTTTTTATATTAATTTAATTTTTTAAAAATAAAAAATAAAAAGCAATTCATTTTAACTTTTAACGCTTTTTTTAATTTTATTTGATTTATAAATTTTACTTTTTGAATTTTTAATAAATTAAAAGCAATCTACGAAAACTTTACAAACGACTCGGGAGTTTACCTGCGGGAAGTGCAAAAATGATCATTGCCAGTTTTTCGAGATGCAAACTCGTTCGGCTGACGAGCCGATGACGATGTTTGTGTTTTGCATGACGCCCGGATGTAATAATAAGTGGAAAGTAATTTTTATTTTTTTTGATTTTTACTATTAATTTTTTTAAATTTTATATTTTTTATATAGAATTGATCAAAATTTGATTTTTTTAAAAAACATTCCAAAATGATTGAGTGAAGTAAGCTATTACTTTTGGTAGGAATTATAATAATAAAATTGCTCTTCGTTAATTTTTTCGATGATTTCGTTTGAATAATTTTTAAGCTCTTCTTTGTTGAGATTAGATTTTTGAACTTTTGGTTATTTTGGAAAAATCCCTGCTAGAGAAATAATATAATAAAAATGATTGTGCGCACCGTTTTAGTAAAAATAAAGGTTTGTAGATGCACTTCTTTAGCGCGCAGTAAAATAAAAAATATTTTGCAGAAAACTGTTGACCGGACTTTAGATTTAAATTTTTAGGTTTTCTGTAAAAATGTATTACTGATTTTTGTAATCTAAAGATTTTAATTCACAGTAAGTTTGGTTGCCACTCAGCGAAATTAAAAAGGAATATGTTTGTGTATTGAATTAGTTCAAAGTTTTTAGATAAGATAAAAAATCTTTATAAAACCAAGAAGGGGAAAGGAAAAATTAAAAAGTTTGCCTTAAAAAGCAGTTTCTTAGCCTTTCCATAATTAATCAATAAATCGCATACATGAATCATTCAAAGGAAGTACAAATTTCTTTGGGCTTTTCAAATATAAATTTTTACCCGTTTTTAATTTTTCTAAAAAGGTGTTTTAAAAACCTATAATTTAAGTTTGCGCTGGTTACATCTAAAGTATACTTGCACAGTTATTAAAAGGTAAAAGAACTTCAAAAACATTTTCTTAAAAAAAAGCTGCATTTGCAGTAAGTTTAATATTATTTGTAGTCCTACGTTTATAAGGTTTATCTTAATAATTTTCTTTAGTAATATATATTTTTTTAAAGTAGAACATTTAATTTTTTTGTAATAAATTATGATTTTATAATTAGCGCCATGTTTATAATTTTATTTTTACTAAAATAGGAACGAATTCAAACACTTTGTTTAAAAAAAAACCTTGTTATGGGGAAAAACGAAAACAGAATAAATGAATATTGTGTTTATGTGTATAAAGTAAGGATTTTTTTACCTTCGCAAGCAATTACACATGTTAAAACGATATTTAAAAAGAAAGTAAGATCTGAGTGATTTTTAATTGCCATTTTATAAAAATAAATTGTCATCTTGAAGGTTGAAATTTGCCTCGAAAATTTTTTCTTGCTTTTATGAGAATACCTTTCGGCTGCTTATAATCTTTCTAACTCTTTATATCACAATTTTATATAATTGTGCTTTTCTTTGTGTTTGAATTTATATTTATTTTCCTCCTTAAGGTTTGTTAATTCTTATGCCTACCTTTTTAGTTTACTGTTTATGTTTCTTATATAAAATATCACTTCTGTTGTTTTTACAAAGTAATTCATATAAAAAATAATATAACTATTTTTCAATTGAAGAGGCTTGTAATAAACATGCATAAACGAATTTTCGAATTAAAGCATACAAAACCTCCTGGTCTTTATCTGTATTGCCTTATGTAAAAAACCTCCGGATTAGAATTAATAACAGTTTTAGAAAACATGATAACGGTTTTAAAAACATGATTATTCAGGCTGAGTTCTTTTTTTTATTTTTTCATTTTTCCTGTAAAATAAGATATTATTTTCTATCCAGCCTTTTTTTTTTAAAAAAATGTGGAAACGAAAACGATATTCTTTTGGACCAAAAGATCTAAATTTAAATCAGTTAGGTTCTAGTGTGAGCCACGTGGATGTGTGTAAAAAGTTTAATTTAGTTAAATTTACTTTGTCTACTATTATGAGCAGCGAAGATAAAATAAGTAGGATTGAGGAAAAACATTCCGAAAGCGAAAAGGATTATAATACGAGGAAGGATTAAGTAGACCAAGCTTTATAATGATGGTCTAATTTTAAACGGTCTTGGGAATTTTACTTTATGGGATGTCCTTTGCTACAAGTTAAAGCCGGAGAATTTAAATTTTTAATTCAGAGAAAAGCTAGGTTTGTTCAGGGGGATATTTGTGTCGGTGGTAAGTGGCACGGGTAGGTAGCGAGGAAGAAGTGTGTATCAGCGAGAAGTTGTCGGACGATTATAAAATTGGGGGACCAAAAATTAATGAGGATTAAAGCGAGTTATTCTTAATTAATTCGATATGAATTCGAAAAAAAAGTTGTTATATCAGTTCTAGATACTATACGCTTTGATAGAAAGCCTGCCTAGGTGAAATACCAATTAAAATACGGAATTGCTTTTGTCACGCTAAGTTAGCAGCCGGTCCTGTAGCCTTGTCTCAGCTAATTCAACTTGCAGAATTTCCATTTGAAGAAAATCTTGTTGTAGATTAAATTCTTCTCGATGATGAAATTTAACTTGAGCAATTTTCAGTGATGCTTCTACTGTAGAGCCTCTTGAAAACTTAAGCGTTAACGAGTCTGGGGAAGTTGAGGACGATGAAGAGGATGAGGAAGAGGATCACAGATAGGCCGAACAGATGATAGTAAAAAGAACGTTAAAAAGGATAAGAACGGCTATATGTTATTTAGAACCAGTCGATGAGGTGGGTCGATTAAGATTGAAATCGCTTGGCTCAGAAAAAAAACTTGAAGAAATGTTTTTTAAGAATGCTTTGAAACAGAAGTCGATAACCGACTACAGTGTATTTTTTAAAAAAGTAATTTGATTGAATTTTTAATTGGAGTTAATAAACACTTGCTTATAACGAAAAAAAAATAATTTAATTGTCTTCCTAGTTTTTGCAATATTCACCGTTATTGTCGGCTTCGGATTTAACGAACAGAAATAGTTGATCCCCTGGAGATCGTTATAAGCGAGCTTATCTTTATCTAGTAAATATAATATTATGCTTTTATAAAAAATATATTTCTATTACAAACTTTATAAGTTTACTTATTATTATATATAAATGTATTAAAAGGCTTCGTAAAGACTAATAACATTTAATAAGCAAGAAAAATAAAAAAATATAATAATATAAATAAAATATAATTGTTTTTGATTTTTTAAGATTTTTAAAGAGATAAACAAACATAAATAACTATTTGAAACATACTAAAAGTTTTTAAAATGCTAAGTAAATAATTTTAATAATGATATAATACTTTATGTAAACATTCAAAATGTTACATTTAAAAATAAAAAAAAATAATTAACTTTTATTTATACTTAAGTAGATAAACTTATTTTATAATTATAATAATCTTAACAGTTTAATTATGAATTACTCATCTGACAACAACTGAAGGCTGAAATAATCACTAGTCACGTGAATTTTAACAGCAATATCTTTTCATCACGGAAATTATAAATTTTGCCTCGTTAAAAATATACTTTTACTTAAAAAAAAAGTTTAAAATGTGAAAAGCTTACGTAGTACTATAAATAAACGCTTTTGACAAGTTATTTGTAAAAAACTGAAAGATCACAAAAGTTTATTAATAAAATTAATTTTTAATAACTACAGCATAATCGCTCATCGAAAAGTAAATAACCACTTCACTTAAAAAGTCATAAGATACATTTACAAATGTTAATTTATTATTAAAAAACTAATTTATTGACAAAAATAAACTTATTTTTATAATTTCCAGTGACTATAAAATTTTACATTTAATTATTTTTATTGTTAAAAATTATTTAAAAATTCCTAACTATTATATCCTCAGTAGTTGATTAAGAACTACAACAAAATAAACACACAAGTGTGGAAAAACTGCTAACAGTTATAATTTATTGACAAAAACTTTATTATTAGTTTCACAGCAACTTTAGCTTTAATTCTGACAAGCAACTTAGAATGCTCTTTTTTCTCCTGAAAAATAATTTATCCTTAACTTCCATATTAAGTACTAAAAAAAACTCTTATTAATGAAGACTATATTGCTATGGCAGTTAGCTAAGGAAAATATGAATAAAAAGGAATAGTGTAAGATAGGTTGACTTTTATAAACATAAAAAGGTAGAAACTATTTAGGCAGTAAATAAGTGACTGCTATTCCCTTTATTGTTTTAGCCGCGATATGATCATCTATGTTTGTTAAAGAGTTTATTTATAGTTTCAGGAAATTATTTATTTTACTATAATAGGATATGAAGAAATGATAATTTGGTAATCTTTTTCTTTTAATATTTCAGATAAATATTTTATTTAGTGAGGTTTTCCTATTTAAGATCTTTCCTCGGTGGTACTAAGCTTGTACAATGAACCGCTTTTTAAAGCCAATTTACTTATTATTTCTTAACAAAAAATATGTTACAGAGTTGCTCTTTCGATTAAGTTATACATTAGTGTTAATTGCCTTTAGGCTAGACAACAATTTCAAATTCTTATTAAGGCCTTTGGAATCAGACATAAAGGAAAATATAAAATTCCCTTTGAAGCTTAGAATTTATTAAATTGGGAGTATTCAAGAATTTTGAAAAATAAAAAACTTTTTTTACTTCTTTAGGATAAATTTTCTTGTAGGTTTACCAGATAGTATTACCGAAAAAAAGAGTTATAAGCCCTTAGTAAGACCCATAATACAAATATTTTTACCATATGAATTTATAATCCGTCCATCTAAATTAATATAGCAAAGCAATATATTCGATCAGACAAACGCTTATCCAAGTGTAACTATTTTTTGAGTCAACAAAACAGTTATGAACATTGTGATAAAAATTATTCATTATAAATTTCAACTATTACTTTTGATATAACAAAGCTCAATAATTTGGTTAAACATAGGTTTAATAAATGATTATAAATAAAATGTCTTTTTTTTTAAAACTTTTTTATTATGAAAAAAAAACAACTACTTATATTTTAACAAAAGCTATCTTTAGTAAAAAAATAATAACCTCTGTACTTAAAAGTAACCTTAATTTCTGGTCTTCGTACTTTATTTTGGTTTCTGAGTCCGATGTGTAGTTTTTTGTTTTTTTATAGACTAATGCAGTAGTTTTAGAAAAGTACAATTATTTACTTGGTATAGTTACTTCTATTCGACTAATTTAGTGCAACAACAAAAGCGAAAAGAAAACTTTAGGCAAAAGCAGGCTGTTTTATCTGGCTACATCTTTTGAAAACCGAAACATTATTCCTATTTTTTCATTAGCAAGCAAGAGACTAATGAAAATATAAAAATCCTACTGTAAGATAAATTTATACATTTGTATACGTACTAACTACTCTGTTTACTACTATCTACAAAGGCGCGTCCTTTAAGCTTTGCGTATTCTCGCTACTTAACAAATTTAGATATCTTTCATTTACAAAAGAAGGATATTTAACGCTGTAATAGACAGTAAATAATTATCTGCGCTCGCTTGAGTATAAAAAAACTTGTTCTTGCCTTTATTATGCTGCCGAGAGCTCTGGTTTTTAGCTAAAAACTTTTAAGCTATTTACAAATTTCGCTATAATAAAATCTTTAGAAATTAAATTTAGTAACAACCTTTTTTATTACCACTACCTTTCAGTTTTAGTATAATTAATGTAATTATGCAAATCGAAGCTCTACGAAAGCCTCTTTTCCACTTAACAATTGTTGGCGCAGAGCCCGATTTACAGAGTAAAACCATCAACTTTTGTTTGCAAAAGGTAAACTCTTTTTTATTAAACACTTTTAAAAAGAGCAGTTTTTAACACAAACATTTATAAAAGATTTTTAATTAAAGTTTAATAGCACTAATAGTTATCCCACAATTTAAATTTTTTTAGTTTTACAAGAGATTATATATATATTATATAATTAAAAAATCTTAATAAAGTGAAACAAAGTTAATTTTGTTATTACTATTATGTGAGTGTTGTAATTTTTGAATTTAATTATAGAAAGTCTTTCTTATACATAATTGAACGAACATTATAAAATTTATACATTTAATTTTTTTTAACTCTGTTGCAGAAAGTGCTGCTTAGTAAAAAAGTGTACAAACATAAGTTTATTCGAAATTTTGAGGAATTCAAAGCGCTTCACGATGGACTAGTGGATTTTTTTTGGAAGGTCTTTTTATATTGCGAAAGTCATCAATTTATAGGAAAGTGTGAAAAGTTTATCAAATTTTTGCTTCCACAGATTCTTATTCCAGCTTTACCAAAAAAGCCTTCTTTCCGATTTTTAAAGGATTTAGATTGTATTTCGTTTTAATTTTCTATTTTACCTAAAAGTTTCTTTGTATATAATTATAATTAATTATTAAGTTTCATATATTTATTATTAAAAAAGTTTATATATACAATATAAATACTTTTTTTTAAAAAATATATTAATGCTTGTCGTATTATACTAAAAACATATTTTTTTGATTTTAATTTTGAATTATTATTTCAATTTTAATTAATTTTTTATAAAAAAGTTTTGTTTTTTATTTTATTTTATTTTTTCATGTTTTTAAGTTTTCCATATAAACTTTTTCAATAAGATGTAGAGGAATACAAGCTGGCACTCAATGTTTTTTTAGTTCGTATTCAAAATGTCGACGAACTATTAGATTCTCTTTTGCTTAGGAAATTTTGTGATCCGCATCTTCTTGAGGTCCAATTATATTTTTCGAGTAAAATTTATTTAAAAATTTAATAAAAATTTAGTTTTTGCATACAGCTGATCGTCGGATTGGCTTTTCCTCGGATCCGTCCTTTTTGCTACAAGTAAACTTTTTTTTAATTGCTACTCAAATTAATTTTGAAATTATTTAAAATTCTAATTTCATAGATTTTTGAAAATTATTTCAATTTTTAACTTTATTTTTTTTTTAAAATCTTTTTTCTAATAGAAATTTGCGAAAACTTTATCTTTTTTTCATCGTTCAAGCCAAAGTGGCATTCTTTGTAATCCAAAATTTCTAAATATTCCCGATAAAAATGAGGTACTTAAAATAAATGTTTTTTTATAAAACCTTTAAATTATAAAATTATCTAAATTTTGTTAAAATCCTTTTTTTTCCAAATCGATAACTTTTTAAAAATTTTTAGTCAAAGTTAATTAAGAATCCTGTTTAACGTATAAATTTAATTTTAAAAATCAAAATATCTTTTTAGCAATTTCCTTTTTTCGTATTTTCTTTTGAAAATTAATTTTATCATCAATTTTTTTATAAAACATTTTTTAATTGTGTAACAATAAATTATTTTTTAAAGAAATCAAGCGTGGGAACCTATTATTTATTTTACTTTTAAGGACTACAGTTTTCTCACACAAAAAGATTTTATTAAAATCCTAATTCCTTTAATTATCTCTAACAAACTATAAAAGTAAAACTTACAACAGAAGGCGGTTATAAATAAAACAGGAGTTATTATTTACTAGGAAATTTAAATTTCTTAAAGAAAAGATAATATAGAAAAAAGAATTGAATCTTAACAGTTCTAGCCCTATAGGAGATTTTACGGTAGTATGAAAGCGAACATTATAATTTTATCAAAATTATATGCCAGCCACAAAAAAAGTAGAAAAACAGATCTTATCTGTATTTGTAAGATTTAGGTGATTTGCTTTTGAACACGAGTTAAATATTTTCAGCCAATTTTAATTATAGGCGTAGGATTTATATAAACTGTAAAAGTAATTATTTCTTCAAGGGCGGCCACGAAAATAATTTTAGCCCACTCTATGTAAATTTTTCTGATTGAAATCAACTAAGCAAAAATTGATTTTGAAAATGTAATACGCACAAAAAAAAGTTGCAAAATTTTCGGGGAATAAACAAATCAAGTAAATTTTAAATAGATGTTAGAGGTGGGAACGAAACTGCTGGAAAGCTGAAGTCCAATATTGATAATATAATAAGATTTCTATATTAATATAATTATTATGAAGTATAACACTTTCGAATATATAATAGATGAGCTTTATATAAAGTTTTAAATCAAATTAGTAACTCATTGCTCCCGCCACACATTTTAGGCGTTTACTAGATACGAGAAATAAACTTTACTAGTACATCTTTAATTCTTACAATAAACATTTAACTTTTCTGTATTATATTATATTATAAATTTTTCTTTTTTTCCAGTACGATGCCATCTTTGAAAAAATTTTATTGGTGCAAACCAACTTTAAGGCGTTGGACACCTTATTTGAGCAAAAGTTAGAATTCTCGCAAAGTAATTTTTTTTAGGGTATTGAAAACTCTCTACTTTCTATGTAATTAAGGAATAATGCGGAGTTACACGGCCATCTCCAACTATTTGACTTCATTATTGCAAGATATCGGTAAACGCTCCAAAAAATAGTTTTACTTTTAAGTTAATTTCAACTTGCATTTTAAAAAAACGTAGTAAAGTTTTTTAAAAAAAGTTTATCAAACTTTTCCTTTTTTTTAATTAGAGCATCCTACGAGCGCAATGGAATATTTCTCTCGCCATTACGCATCTCTATGCGATCTTCAAAATAGACAAGTTTCGCACAATGTCGTTTCTGTTTTTTTGCTAATCTCATTATTTTCTGCAGGAAAAAACAGTTCAGTTCTGTTTGGGCAGCTGTATTTCTCAAACCTATCAAAACTTCGAAAACATGAAAGTATTTCTCTCATTGGCTCTCTTATAAATTACATGCGACAATGCTCTATCCAGCCAATAATGAACCACCGCACAGTTGCTCTAATAAAATTCCGCAAAGTTTATTGGCGGTGCGCAGAAGACACGCACCAATTACCAAAGGTCTTCTTCCTTTTTTTTATTGTACTTACAGTAGTCTTAAATTATTTTTTCCTTTTTCTTTCCAGGGAAATCAGCTAAAGGAGGAGTACTGCGAGGCCAGCAAGTGCATGAGCCGAAACTGGCAAGAACTGCAGGACTACAGCGAGAAGCATTTAGTGAAAAATATAAAAATTTTTATTGCACAACAACTACAGCTCGAGGGGGGGAAGTTGTCGTATTTGCAAAAGGCGCTGGAGGAGGTTGCACTGACCAGCGCCGCCTCACGAGAATTTAATAAAGCACGTGATAAAAATTAGCAAAGTTTTATTATTTTTGCATTTCCAGAAGTGTCGAGGTCCTCTTCCTCAACCACGTGGTGGTGGTACTGGGCGTTTCCTGTTAAGTAGATGCAAATGTATCTAGTAAGCGCGACCGTGCGAAAATAAAAAAAAATCCAACCAAACTTTCTTTTGTACTTCATAAACACGCGGTTTACGCGTGTCCCAGTAAAAAGATCCCAGGAGAAGCCCCGTGTTCCTGCCATAGAGAAAAACAGTCTTTTCCCAGCGGGCAGGAGACACCCAAAAAATGCCCGGTGGGCTATACCTTTATCGATAGTCACGTCATATGAATTAACTACTTCCACGCTAAGTATATTGGGATGCTAAGTCAGTGTGAGCGTGCATGACAACTTTTAAATTTAAGCTAATCAAAGTTTACTCCAGAGCCCGCTAAAAGGTCTCCGTGTGGAACTTTAAAGGCCAGCGAAGTTTGATGACTGTCCGGGAAAAGCAGACGGTGGATATATAAGAACTCGATCGGCAGGTCGGTTAAAATGCGCTTCAAACTCATAAGAAAACTCATCCGCTAAATGGTTAACAAAAATATATATATTTAAAGAAAAGAAGAATTTTAATAAAAAGTCCAGCCCTTTCCTTCTCCGTTGAATTCTGAATATCACTGAAAGCGTCCATTACGAAGCTGGAATAAAAATAAGGCGAGTGGTGCAAAGATCAGTTTGCTCCAATAAGAGCAAAAGGACCAAAGAAGGTCCAAAACTTTCAAGCATAGGAGATGGTCGGCGGTGCCAAAGCCAATCAGAAGCTTCTTCAGCAACAGGCATAGGACCTAAAGAAAGCAAGAGTTAACAATTGCCTTGCACCACCCGCCATGGAGACTGTCCGAAGACTCACATGGAGCCACTCGTGGCATCTGCATTGCTGCTGTTTCTTAACTATACAGGACAACAGGACGCCAAGTAAGTCCACACGGAAAGCCACGCCTGCCAGGGCGAGTCATTTGGAAAGAGCGAAACAGTGCTGAGGCGGATGAAATTATATGCCTTTATGCTGTGTGACGGGAAGAGGGTCAGAGGTGTCCTTAACGTACAAAAGAAACTGTTCCAATAGAAAAATAGAGAATCTGTAGAGTGAAGGTTATTTACTATTTTCGCTTATTTCCAACTTCCGTATATAAATATTTATAATAATTATAAATTATTTTATATTTTTTTAACAATTTTAATTTATTTATTATTATTTTGTGTAACTTTTATTTATTTATTGTTATATCTTTACAGTCGCACAGCAAAAATAAGTAAATGGGGAAGAACACAAAAATGCACTTTATTTTCAACTCCTCGCTATTTTGTAAGCAGAAAGCAAGCAGTTTAGTGTACGGTAGCTCTAATTCTAATGAAAATGGCTCCTCTGCCGTCGCACTGCCCGAGAGCGCTTGCTGGAGAGGAGAGAGTGCCCACCAACGGGGCGCGCCACATGCTAAGATCCGAGTGGCTTCGGCAATAATGCAATGTTGCAGCTAAAGGCCGATTGGATAGGATACTTAAAAGAAAATGGGATATTATTGGCGAGCAGGGAAACCACCTTCGAGGGCAGACTCAGTAAAAGAGGGGCAAGTGGTTTGCCCTCGGGGACAGCCCAGGCGTCTTGGCGCAATTTTTCAAGAACAAGTGTAGCAGCCAATAAAAACTGAGAAGCGCACACATGAGAATCGCTAACTAATCACTTATAGTCAGACATGCCTGAGCTTCTTCGGAGGCCTTGTCCCATTCGTCACAGATCACTTATAATAATAATAATGAATAAAACAACAACATTAATAAAGTCATGCACATTTCAGTTCTGCAGCGCAAAAGCACAGAGTCCACTTGTCCAGGCGGGCAAACTCCTCCTTTAAACGAATAAGAGGATCCATTTTTTCGACTTCACCAATAACTGAAGACCAGAAAATAACAACCAACACGTGCACTTGAAAACCCTTTACCCCATGAGCTTTTTTCGTAATGTAGCACATGCGCCACGGTGATAAGCGCAGAAGAAGGCGGCTTTCTGCGAAAAGCAGAGTTGAGGGCATCAGTGTGCAGCAAGCAATAACCCCGCACGTGGTCGTCAGCAAGCAGGTGGCAGAGTAGCTCATTGATCTTTGAGAAATCACAAAGTTATGTAGAGAATTTAAATAAGAGAAAAAAAGCGAAGAAAAGTTACATGGGTAAGCAAGGCGTCCGGCTTAGCACATTTGCGTAAGCGGCATAATTCGGCTACAAGCAACACGAGGGCAGCAGGTTCCAAAGAACGTCGAGCAGCTTGAAAACAAAGTCTGTCCCGGCTCGATTCGAGTGGTAAATCCACCACGTGGGATTCCACATGGAGAGTTTTAACTAATAAGAGGCCGCCACGGACAGCTTGGAGGTCTGTATCGGCATCAGTAATCACCTGATTGGTCAACGACCGAATGAGCTCGACAAGCACCTGTTTTTCATAAATACTGTAGAGTGGGCAGTAATAAAAGCGCGCCCTATAACACCTCTTCGGTGAGGTCGGACAAAGACAGACAAATTTTTCCGCAGAGACCAACCAGAAAAAGGCCCAATATGAACCAATCAGCGACCGGCGAGGGTGGGTGGGAGAGAAGTAACTTCTTTATTAGGCACCAATTAGCATCGAGGAGAATTTAAACAAGCCAAGCTTCACTTTTAAGCACTCGAGTATAGTGGCATTCAGCCAATGATTTTCGTTGATGACCGCACAAACAGCACACCATTGGTAAATTTTTTTTACTGACTCTTTTGAACTGCTCCAATCAAAGTGACATATTTTCTGTAAAAGTTGAGCAAAGAAGTGACGTGCCGCCCATTTCTGCTAAAAAAAAATAACTATAACGATAATAATTGTGAAAAGCAATAACCACGTTGCAGACGCGAATGACAGAATTCTTATTGGCTGGGAGAGAAGGGAAGAGGCTTAAAAGTTCCTCAGAAAAAAGCGCAGAACGCTAAAAAATAGCTTCATTAAAAAAGTAAGTCATCGCAGAAGAAAAAATTATACCTGAGAAACACGTGGGACCTCGCCCTCGTCAAGCGGATGGAGGTCGTCCTGGTCAAAAACTTCCTGTCGTAATAGGAGTCGCACCTTCTGATAGGCTACAGAGTACCAGCAGACTGGAATACACAGAAAAAAATTTTGGCCCAACCTGGCCAATGGGAGCGCTAAGCCATTTTGCAGCGCTTTCCACCGTAGAGAAGCCTTTTTTTATGAGGACAGTATAAGAAAAAGCAGCGACGGCTATTTTAATTGGTTACAAACTTTTAGCAACAGCGGCGAATAGGCGTTGATGAACGTCTATCGACGTGGCCAATGCGCGCCTTAAGATTTTTAAGTAACCAATGATAAAAACTAGTGCTATAAAAGCTACCAATTAGTCGATAATGCCGCCGTAATTACTAAATGAACGTCGGGAGAGCTCGTGTGGGCAACCAGAAGCTCCAAGCAGGAAAAAAGGACGGAAAAGTCGTCTGCCACTTGTAAAAAACCAACCAAAAAGCACCAAAAAAATAACCAAAACGAACTCAACGCTGAAATAATGAGTAGAAGCTCCGATAATTGGTCAAGGAAACACCAATCATATCTAACTATATAATCCTCATTAGCGAGACGCTCTTGAAGACAAGCGTGTATCCACGCGGATATATCGCGCTGGTAAAGGCAAGGCAACTCCATAATGCTGTTTACTAAAAGCGGTCCATTAGTTTCATTATTTTCAGAGCACTTGCTTTCCGTGCTGTGGTTGGTCATATTTTCATAGAATTTACGGTAGTAATTGAAATAATAATGAATTGGAAGCATCAAAGGAGGAGTGTCGCCGCCGGAAAGAGAATTTATATACTGCTCAACGGCGCAGGAAAGCAGGACGGCGGAAGAGCAGTCGTCCGAGAGAAGTGATTGGTCGAATAGAAGACACCTGCCGGCGGGCAACCCTAAGAAAAATTCACGGAAGGGGGTGTATAGAGACGAAAACCTTCGCAGGTTTCTCGCATACGCATCCGCCGAATAGCAGGGAAGCGCCTGGACAAATCGCCAATGAAAAGAGCTCTGCAGCACTGATGTAAAATTTTGAGTGCACCCACTTTCCCCCCAACAAAGTGGATAAACTTTTCTTGTTGCAAGTGATAAGTCTTGACATGTACGCGAGGTAGTCAAACAGGCCTTCTCTTACGAAATCTCCAAAAAGTTCGACAAGTTGGGCGAACTCCTGTAGCATTTTTTTAGTGCATAATCAATAAATATTATGAAAATTGACTTCGATTGATTGCATGCACTCATCTTTATATTTTTCTAAAAAGTCGTACAGAAGAGCATGCAAGAAGAGCGACGGCGCTTTTTTTCTTATGAATACCAAAAATAATAATGGTTAGAAATTGGCCAATCAGCAATGTTCGATTATTTTTTTATATCAGATGTTAATATTGCTAAGCAATCATAAAAAACTTATTCATTATTACTTTTCAAAAAAAGGCTTTTGCTTGTTACTATTTCTTATATTTATTATTATAATAAACGTGGCCAATTGCGAAACCAACTTTAGCAGCAGTAGCAAATAGACAGCCACGAGCCGGCGAGATGCGCCAATGCGGTGAGAAATAGTTGCCCAGCGGCACAATAAAAATAGCGACGCGTCCACATGGCTGGCCAAAGAGTCGCTCTGCTGATCATGCGGAAAGATAATCCCGAACAAATCTTCCAGAGAACGAGAAGCGTCTCTAAAAAAAAGATTTCCAGAACCATAAAAAATATATTTTTCATATATAGAAGACCCGCGCGTTTCGCAGGAAGAAAAGCAGTCCAACGCGGATAACTTCAAAAGTTCTTTAAATTCAGAACTTTCTTGAAATTTTAAAATTAATTTAAAAATAAAATCACAAAATGAGAAATTAAATTTTTTTAAGAACCTTCTAATAATAAATCTTTGGAAAATAATAATAATGAGCGACGCTCAATAGCACGAACGGATTCCTCAAAAGTTAGTTGTAAGCATTTTTGAATAGGCTAATAATAATTACAATAAGAATAATGATAATCATAATAACAACAAGAATAACAGTAATAATAATACAGTAGAAAAATCTGGAAGCCAATCCAAGTTTGATATACGAAAATCACTTTCCAGCGCAAATCCAACAAACGCTGTTGGAAACATCACGACGAGAAACTTAACAATCGGCAAATAAAATAATGAATAGTCAACCAAAAAGAAAAAATACGTGGAGACCTGCACAAGTAAAAAAGCCAAGCGGCCCACGCCACGCGGATCATTCGAGGAAAAAAGTTTAAGCAGACGAGTGCATGCCAAAAATAAACGGCGGGATTGGGATCGCCGAGGAGCAAAGTACGGCAAAAAGTCCAGTAGGGAGCGCAATAGAAGAATACAAAGTTGAAAGCTGCACGGAAAATATATTCAAAAAACATACTGAAGCAAGGAAATAGTATAAATATAGAAAATAGAAGTAAAATAAGTCAGAAGTCAATAATATAATGACAAAAAAGGTTTTTACATAGTAAATACAATATCTTTTAGCAGATATTTTTATAAAAGCATATACTTTGCTATACCTTTTTTAATGCTCGTTATAATTTTTTGTTAATAATTATTATATTTTTTATTATATTATTTTTATTATAATTCTAAAAAAAAAATTGACTTTTTTTTTGTATTTTATTATAATTATTATTTTAGAAACTTTATTTTCTGTTTATATTTTTTTATTGTATTTTTATTATAATTACTTAAAAACTTATTTTTTCGTTTTATATATTTATTATTAAATGATTATTATAATTACTATAATAAAAAACTTTTTTTATATATTTCTTGTTATATTTTTATTGTAATCATTAAGTTATAAACTTATTTTCTGTATATATATTATTATTATTGTTAATATTTTAATAATCTTTTCTCTGTATATACATTTTTTATTATATCTACTATTTTATAAACTTTCTTACTATGTATATTTTTTATTGTGATTATATGATTATTATTTTAAAAACTTTTTTCTATATATATTTTATTATATTTTTATTATAATTATTATTTTAAAAACTTTTTTTGAATATTTTTTTTATTATATTTTTATTATCTGAAAAACTTTTTCCATTATATTTTTATATATATTATTAATAGTTATAAAACTATTTTTCTATATATATTTTTTTTAATACCATTTTATTATAACTATTATTTTAAAAACTTTCTTTCGTGTATTTTTATTTTTTTTCTATTTTTTATATTAATAATATATTTTTAATAAAACTTTCTTATTTATATAAAATCAATTTATTTATAAATAAACTCATCAGCGGTAGCAAGTTTATCGATGAACCAATTGAGAAGCACGTCAGGAGAAGTCAAGCCCTTAAAGAAAAAGTTTCTCTTAATGAGTTCAAAATTACAAACAAAAAAAACTTTTTATAAAAAGTTTATTTCATTAAGAATTAAAAAAATAGAAAATAAAAAGTTCATTCCAAGGAGATTCAAGAATTTAAAAAAAAAAATTTAAAAATTTAAAAATTCAAATCAACGAGATTTAAAAGTTTTTTTTTAAAAAAAAAGCAAATTATATAAAAATTTCATCTTTTTTAAGAATTGAAATATTAAAAAATATATATATTAAAATAATAAATTTTTTTTAGTGAGATTCAAAATATTTAGAAAAAAGTAAAAAAATCTTAAAAAGCTTAATTCATTTAAAATCAGATATAGAAAAAATATATATATGAAAAATATATAAATATAAAAAACGGGGGAAAAAAATTTTAGAAAAAGTTCATCTCAGTGAAAATCATAATATAAAAAAAATAAAAAGTTCAATTCAATGACTGGAATTTTTTTTAATAAAAAGTTCATTTCATTGAGAATCAAAATCAAAAAATATATATATATATAAAGTAATTAAAGAATGAGAATCAACAAAATTTATAATTTTCAATGAGAAATTTTTATAAGAAAAGTTAAAAATCTAAATATAAAAATACAAAATTTTTTTATTTCGATAAAAATTAAAATTTGATAAAAAAAATTTAAAAAGTTTGTTTCATTGAGAATCAAAATATAAAAAAAAATATAAAAAAAGTTTTTTTTAAGAGAAGCAAAATAAAATAAATCTAAAAAAATTAAAGGAAGTCCAGTTCAATAAAATTCAAAATTTTAAGGATAAAAAACTTTTATAAGTTTTATTTCCTTGAAATTCACAACTAAAAAAAAATAAAAAACTTAAAAAAAAAAATTCATCTCTTTGAGATTTTAAATTTAAATAAAAAAAATATATAAAGTTCTCAATAAATTTCAACTAAAATTCGAAATTTAAAAGAAAAATAGCAAATATATAAAAAAATGATAATCCCATTGAAAATCTAAATGTAGTAAAAATTTATAAGAAGCTTTAAACCAAATTTCGTTTCATTTAGCTTCAATAAAATAAAAAATTTTTAATATAATTCAAATTTAAAGAAAATAATAAACAAATAATAATAATAATAATAATAATAATAATAATTAACTAATTACAATTTAAAAATGAAGATTTAAATTTTTTGAAAAAGTTGCATCATATTGAGATTAAGATAAAAAAAAAAAGTGTATTAAAAACGCTTGAAAAATATTTATTTTAAAAAAATCAGAATTTAAAAAAAAAAATTTTTCTCCGAAAATTAAAATTTTTAAGAAATTAAAAAAAACTAATAAAAAGTAAACCTCTTTAGTTTGATGGCATAAAAAATAAAAAGTATAGTCAAATTTTTGAAGAAAAGAAGGTGGTCCTCTAGGAACAGCAACTTGTTTCATCTTTTAAAAAAAAATTAGCAGAATTTATTATAAAAAAATATATATATATATAAAAAATTCTTTTGCCACTCATCAATTATTATAACAATAAAAATTTAAATAATTTGAATTATTAATAAATTAGAAGTTGGCATCAACTTTTTCATACTTACAGATTTTATAAATTAAAAAAAATATTTTTAGGAGAAATCAATATTATAACAATTAAATTAAAAAGATAATATTATATAAATTTAATAATGATTTACTTGTTGAGCTAAGAGGCGCGTAATATAGCCAGTCCACTCGTCAAACACCTCAGCTTTAGTCCGATTTGGACGCGATCTTTTGCTAGTAATTTCGTGCTTTAAATGAATCTAAAAATAAAGTTGATGTTTCCAAAAAAAAATTTTAATTATAAAAACTAAAAATTGCATATTAAAAATTTAAATAATTAACTTTTATAAAAATTTTTATATCCATTATCATTTATTATATTAATAAACTTTTAATATTTTATTATTATTATTGATAAATTAATTTATTATTTGTCGTTTTACTAAATATTTAAGAGAAAAGAGATTTAAAGTTTGTAAAGTATTAAAAGTTTTGTCAACTTTCTTAATACACAATATTTTTAATGCTGTGATGTTATTTTACATTAATAAGTCGATAATATATATTTTTTGAAATAAGTAAGTATTGTTGCGAAAAATTTTTTTACTAAAAAATTATAATAATTTTCTATATACATTAAATTTGTAGAAATTTTTATTTTATCTTAATAAATTATTAAAATTTTATTATACATGTTCGATGCAGTGAATTTTTTTAATACAAAAAATTTTTTGGTAGTAGTTTTATTTTATATAAATAAATAAGAATTTTTTAATAAATATAAAAATTTCGACGCAGTAAATTTTTAATAAAATAAGATTTTTGTTGCAATAATTTTTTTTTTACATTATAATATTAAAAATTCTATATACATTTATAATTTTTGTAGGGATTTTTTCTTTAATATTAATAAAATGATTAAATTTATTCAATAATGACTAAATTTTAGTAGTAATTTTATTTTATAGAAATAAATTAATTAAAATGTTAACTACAGATAAAAATTATTAATGCAAGAATTTTTTTTATTAATAAACTTATTAGATTTTTTTAAAACATATAAAATTTTTGTTATAGTCATTTACAATATTGATTACTTAATATAAAATATTCGATGCCGTTATTTTTTTTAATATCAAATTTTTGGTATAGTAATCTTTTTTATTAAATTTATTATATTAAACATAAGAATTATTAACTGCAGTAATTTTTATAATTAATAAATTTATTAAATATAATCTTTCATGCAGTTATTTTATATATTAACTAATTCAATTACTAATTATTATTTATTTTTACTTGTTACGAATTTTTATTAGTTATTTGAAAAATATTAATGCGAATTGCTTTTATACATTATTAATTATTGTTATTTTTAAATTATACTTATTTTTATTATAATGTTATTAATTAATATTTTAAGTAAAATTTTCATGATTATTTTAATAATTTTTACATTTTTTCAAAGTTAGTTTTCAGTTATTAGTTTTCTTATTATTAATTTTTACTTGCTATTATGAATAATTATTAATTACTTTCATATTATTATATATTTTTACATTTTATTTATTTTTATTATGTTATTAATAATTAATAATTAGTTTAATAATAAGATTCTCATATAATAATTATTATTAATAAGTATTATTATTACTTATTTTTACAGGTTACTTATGATTATTAATCATAACTATTTTCATAGTTTATTATTTATTTTACCAGTTATAGAGTATTTTTTTCATACTATTATTATTATTTTTACGTGCTTCTGATTATTATTGATAACTATTTAATATTATTTATTTTTACTTGTATTTAATTATTATTAAGCATTTAAATAATATCATTAATTAGTTTCCTTGTTATTAACATCTATTATCAATATAAATAGAGACCACCTGAACTAACCAAGCCGCACGGATGAAGGGGATGCCGCGCTCGTAGAGAAGAGAAATGATGGACTCCGTTTTCAAAACAGGAGACTTAACAAAAGTTATATATAAAATTATATATATAAGAAAATAATTTCAATATAGATTTTAAAAAATTTATAAAAAATTATATATCTACATTTATAATTTATTTTTGAAATTAATTAAAGATATTACTAAAAAAAAATTAGAAAAAAATATAAAAACGAAAAATAAAAAAAGATATAATTTTAAAAATTATATATAAAAATATATTAAAAGCAAATAAAAATTTGATATACAAAAGAAAATAATTTATAAAATAAATTAAAGAAATATATAAAAAAATAATATTACAAAATATTAAAAGAAAAAAGTAATTTTAAAAGGAATTAGAGCAAAAAAATATTGTTATAAATACAATAAAAAAATTATGTAAAAAAAGTTTTTTATATAAAAGTTTATAAAAAATAAATTAAAAATTTTTAGAATGAATTAAAGAATTTATATTAATAATATAATTTTAAAATATATAAAATATATAAAATAATTTAACGAAATTATATAAAAAATTGAATAAACAATGAAAGGAAAACATAAAATTAAATTAAGGAATATATATTTTGAAAAATTTATAATAAACATATATATAAAAATTAATTTAAAAAATTTATATGGAAAATTATATATATAAATCAAGAAAACTTATTTTAGAATATTTAAATAATTATTTATTTAAAAAAAAACATAAAGAGTTTGTACATAAGAAATATAATACTTTCTTAGCGAGTTGAGGAATGGGAGCGCCAGATGCAAACATGTTTAGCCATTTAATCTAAATTTAAAAAAAAGGTTTTTATAGAAATTAAAAAGTTAATTTTTTAAAAAAATAATATAAAATTCTAAATTCTATTTAAAATGTGAATTAAAAAGTTAATTGCAATAAGCATAATGCTATTTAATATAAATTAAAGATGAGAATTACGTATTGTAAAAAAGTTTTTAATAAAATAGAAAGTTAAAATTAATTTTACCTAAAAAGTATACAAAATTAACTTAAATGAAAATAAAGATAACGAAACTTTGAAAAAAATTAAATAATTAATTTCTCTTTAAAGACAAATTTTAACCCATTTTCAAAATAAGAATTAGGTTATATAAAAAAATTTTAAGTAAAATCAAAAAAAATAAATTTCTTTAAAGTATATACACTTTAACCTGAATTATAATTGCTAATTACAATAATTAAATAAGTAAAACTAAATCAAAATTTTTTTAATAGAAATATTTTTTATAATTTGATTTAAATTTTATATCTAAGTTAACTTTTAAGAAGGAAAGAAGTTTATTTCGTTAGAAGCTTTGACCATTATATTAATTAATAAAATAAATTTACCACGGACTCCTCTTTGGCTAAATTATGCTGGCGGGGCGGTAACTCCTTTAAATCTACAAGCTTGTTTTTTTGATGATGAAGTTTTCGTAGAACTTTATAATTTGCTATAATCTTTTATTAATGAACAGCAATAATAATTTAAAAATCAAAAAAAAATTATATAATAATATGAAACCTTTTCAGCTAAGTCAGAAGAATTCTTTATAAGAAACCGTGCTGTTCCTATAAAATAAATGAAAAAGATTAGTTTCCTATAAAGCCAATATAATTCTAATAAAGATTTATATTGCTTCTTCAAGATATTTTATATATTTTTATTTATAAAAAGTTTTATTCTCTATGAAGGTAAACCCGAAGATTCTTCACCAACTACAACGGGATACTCATAACCTTTTTGAATCGTTTGAGAATTTAAGCTATCCTGAAGTGGAGTATAATTATATAATTGTTACAATAAATTTAATTATTAAATTTTTCATTACTTCCAAAGAAGATCCAATAAGCGGGTATACATCGGGTATACATATTGATTTTGTGTGCTTAAAGCTTAAATATTTAATAGAAAAAACCGAAGAAAAATTGAAAAAGACATAAGAATGAAAGTAAAAAAAAAAAAGTAAAAATTTGAGAACCCCAAAGCCTTTGTAGGTTCCTCACAAAACTCATTCCTTCTTTCAAAAACAGTATAACGGCCTTTACGGTTAGGAAGCATCGAGGCTATGCTCGCTTCTTCTTAAGATTAAGAAGTAAGAAAGAAAGTGCTAAATAACACAGCGTCGGGGTTAAACATAATAGTTTTTAAGTTTCTTATGGGTTAGGAATTAATATATAAATATAATTTTTATCAGAGCCACAGGAGCCCTTAACTTAAAACTCATACCCTTCATTTTTAGGTTAAGTATATTTATAATTATATTTTAAGTGAGAACGAGTTTAATTATGACTGTAAACTTTTTTCTTTAGCAATTGTTTAATATATAGCTTGCAGTTAATCTATTTAGTATTTTTACGGATAATCTAGAGTAAAAGCTTATCAGTAACAACTAAATTATCCTACACGTAACCTTAGTAATAGCACACTTAATTAAACAAACTTTTTCGATATTCACTGTTAGAAAATTGTAATAAAAGCCGATAAACTTTCAGAAATCGTGTGACGGTACACCACGAAATTAAGAAAAAAGTAACTGTCTTTATTAAAGCTTATGGTCTGCGAAGCATTTTCATTTTTGCAAGTTTGAGATCTACTTATATATTTATAAAAGTTGCCAGCCATCTATATTTTATTTACATTATAAATGTGAACTATTATTATTCGAATTAACACTTAAACTTTCCGCAAACAGTTTTTATGTTAAAATATATGCTAGTTATATAATAGTAAATAACTAAGTTTATGTACCGGGTTTTTGTTTAGCATAATAAGCTATATTTTTTTTGAAAAGTAAGTGTTTCGTTGAATGAATCTTCTTGACTCATGCAAACCGTTTGTTTGTTAGTGTGTATATTATTTTTATTCTTGTTAATGAATTTAACTGCATGGACTTACTTTCATTAGTGGCTTTGCTAAGGGTGCACTACCTTCTCTGGAAACTATTTTATATAAATTCTTAATGTTTTCGCGAAGTATTTTATTATTACAAGCACTGACTGCATTTGAACTTATTCTTTATCGTTCATTACGTACAATAGTCTTTTTTTTAAATAAAAAAAATTGTATGGTAAGAGTTATTATGGAAGCTCATAAGGTGGTGCATCTCGCCAGATACTTTCAAGCATATTAGTTATTAGCTTCTATTTTAACTTGCATAAATAGTCTGTGAAGAAGTACTATCCTTATACTTCTATAAATGTTTAACAACAGTAGGTTTCTGCTTTAAAATTTTAAATCGTGTAACAACTTATACTATGGATGTAACAATCATCTCCATATTCTACCGAATACGTTTTTTATTTTAATTAAATCGCTTAAGCCAATATTTGTTTCATTTAAAGGTAGCGCCGCAGTAAATTAGTCAGCCCGAATTTTGAATGGCTCGTTTAATATTTATTTGTTATTATAATAAACTCGTCTAAAGAAAGAACGTAGTTGAAACTGAAGTGTCCTTACTCCTTCAACTAATGTACACAGTCGCACAAATTTAGGTCTTACATATTTAGTAATATTATAAGGATCGTTGGAAGTTTAAATCTTAAACTGTTGGTTTTCATGTAATACCGTTTTTTTTTAGTATATTTTCCGCTATGTTATGAACAGAGGTTTTGGCTTTAAGCTCTTTGGTAGTCAAGCACTGCTAATAAACCACGGGGAGTTTATAAACATAATAGTCTTTTTTGACAATGCACTTTCCTAAATAGAGGCGAGGAGAGCAATACTTACAAGCAAGGGAGGCGCAGAGTTAAAATTGAGAAGATAATTGTACATTAATAACTTCTTTAATTCAGACGGGAATAGAGAAAAGCCACAGCCACTTAGCTTTGTTATAAAAATTTTACTTGTTTACTTCAACTTAAGTTTTAGTAAAGTATAGCACCTAAATATTTAATATCGGAAACAATTAGGATATCGCCTGTGTTTAGGTTGAAGCATTTCTTAGGTGTCTTCTTTATACAGATACAGATAAGAATTTTGTAGAAAACAAATTTTTGACTTTTAAATTGATACCATCCTGCACTTTCTAGAGAAAGGAACTAACATGTTAATGTATGAAAACATTTAGAAGAGGAAAAAGTGCAACATCCTCTTCAAATAATGTAGCAATGAAGAAAGTGACAAATCCTGAGGAACTCAATTATGTATAAAAAGGCGGAACGCAGTTAACTAAAAATTTTCGATTTTCTAAAAGTTGTGATTTTTTAATATACAAGAAAAATTAGAAAAGGCATAATTTTACTAAAGACCCGACTGCCAGACGTTGTTAAACATCATTTCGACATAAAGACGATATTTTGTGCTTTTTTTGCAACACCGTGTAGAAATGTAAGGTAGTAGAATGCCCTTCTTGAAAACCCTACAGTGCTGCTTAAGGTAGGTCTCTCTTACTAACCTTATCTTGGTTTTATTTAAATATTATTGATACCAATTTTTCTTAAGAGAGGACAATAAACTGATAAGACGACAGGCACTCATATCATAAGGAAGGAAAACCTTTTTAAATATAATACTTCTAACTTCTTTCTAGCATTCAGGAAAAACTTATAGTTTTAGTAAAGTCTTAATGATATCAGTATTACACTTTAACTATAAACTCTTTAGCAACTTTAAAAAAAAAAAGGCTTCATTTACTATATAACATACCTCCACTGCCCTTTTATTGTATTAACGATAACCTCTACCCCTATTTGAAACAACAATATTTTGGGGAAACCCATGATATTTGAAAACATGAGTAAAAAACTGATTAGTTGCCTCTATCGAGGTAAAGGGCCTAAAAACCGGTATAAAATGACACATTTTAAACAATAACATTTTACCATCATAATGGAGTTGAACCCTGAGTTTTGGAGAGGTCTACTATAAAGTCTAAGGGCTCTTCCTCCCCAAAATTACTCGAGATAGTTAAGGTTGCAGTGATCCCTGTAGTCTACCTCAAGACGTAATTATACTCCAGCAGGTATCACATAAGTCAATTAATTTCTTAAAATCTCCCTTCATGATGAACCAAAAGAAGTTTCCTTTAATTAGTGCCGTAAATGACCGCCTATAAGGGGTTGGTATCTGTTCAAATAAGCAACTGAAGTCCCTTAGAAGGTAAAACAATCTTTTTTTTACACATTATATAATAATCCATCTTTAACGTTAAGCAGTTTGTATAGGGTTTAAATAGAGTATATAACCCTTTAGCTATGTGCTTTCAGTAAGAACTTTCTTTACTTTTAATTAATAACTGAATCGTTTAAACTGTTAATGAACTGAATGTTGGAAAGAGGTCATTTTTCGGAATATTAAAGGAGGTAATCCAGGTATTATGCTCATGGTGGTCTCAAGTCAATTCGTTAAATACTATTTAAAATTATAACCGCTAAGTCAGCTATCCAAGTTGCTTGTCTGCGATTTAGAATTTTGTTTTTGAATAAAATGTTCTAAAATCTATGATGGGTAATATCCATCATTACTTGCTCAGAGAGTAAAAGATAATGACGCCAGTTCTAAAAGCCTCTACTACTGCCAGCAACTCTTTATCAGAGTGTGACAATTTTGTTAGGCGCACTTAAAGCGCTTAGAGAGAAAGCAAATCTGCTCTAACATTACTTCTCAGGGTTGACTTAATATGCAACCATATACAATATCTGGCGTCGGGTTCTATAATTTTCAGAATCTTTTGGGTAAGGTGTAGAAGGATGGGAAACAGAAAATTTTTTCTGCTTAAAAACTTGGTACACTTCATTCAATTTAAAAGTCCACATAAACTTTGTCAGGGGTTTAATTATAATAGAATAATTTCTTTGAAGCGTCTATATAAGTTCACAAAGCCAAGAAACTGTTGTAAGTGCTTTATTGTTTTGGGCATTGGTCACTCCTTAATGCACAACTTTTTCTGGATCCATGCTAATCCCTATATTTGAAATAATAAAACCCAAATAGGTCAATATTTTTATAACAAAAGAGCGTTTCTTCACTTCACTATAAGTTGGTGTTTACGCAATGCCTCTAGTACCATAAACACGTTGGCATCACGCTCTTTTTTATTTTTGCTAAATATTACATTATAAAGGTAGACAACAATAAATTTGTCAAGATAGAATCCAAAATATCATTCATGAAAGTGTGTGATGTAGATAAAGCATTCGCTAGACTGAAAGGTACAACGAATACTCAAAAAAACTATAACGACAACGAAAAGCTGCTTTCCATTCATCCCCCCTCTCATATTCTTAGAAGTTAAAACGCAACAGGGAGGTCATATCTAGTGTAAATCTTAGCTAATGAAAGAAGATTGATTAGATAATCTATTAACGGAAGAGGACGTTGGTTCTTATAGTATTGTCCTTCATATCAGATAATCGATGCATATTCTTAATTTATAGTTTGGCTTCTTAACAAAGAAGCAACCAGCACGCACTGGACTAGGTGAAGGCCTTATCCAGCCTTTTCAAAGCTTTTTCATTGTAGTCGTTAAGTGCCTTAGATTCAACTACAAATAGCGGTTACAACTTGCTGCCCGTTGGCAAAGTGACTTCTTGAATTAACTATCTTTAAGTCGTATGGTCTATAGGAAGGATGACCGTAAATACTACAAGGAACCGCCTTTTAAACGGAATAATTCGAAGTAACTGTCGTATTTCATGGGTATACCTCGAAAATCTAAAGGAATTTCTAACGGACATAATTTCTAAACATAGGTAGCGCGCAAAAGTAGACATGATTCTGTTGAGTGTTCATCAAAAACTTCAGCGTTACACATTCTGATATTGGTTTCTTTTAAATTTGGTTGCCTTTTTTTTTTTAAAACATTAAACACATTTTTATTCATGTGACTTTCACAATTATTGTGTTTGATAATTCATGATGTAGTGCTCAATCAATGAAGGGGTTATGTTTGAGGGGGTTATTTATTTAGTTTAGTTACGTAACATTGTACTTACTCGATATGGAAACCCAAAAGAAGCCTAATTGGCTTTTTCATATAATAATAAAAAAAGCTTCCTTCACAATATAACCATTACATAACACTAAGGTAGAGTAGACACAAGTACTGAAGCTTCAAGTTTATTACTCCTAGCAAATCCGGAATCAATGATTGCATATGCAGCACAACAATTGTGGAGAAATAATTTTAAATAATATTGGCCAGAGTGCTTTAAATATAGTTTTAGGAAGGTTATTAGTACAAATATTAAGGACTACTTTGTCAATAGCAAAAGAATGTAAAGCCTATAGTTTGATAATGTTACCAACAAGGTTTTTTCGTGGTCCCCGTCGTCTTTAAACGATTCCGCTCCTTTATGAGGCACGTAACCACTCTCTGGGCGGGATCGTCACAGAAGGCACAAAGATTTTCCCTCCGCCGGCAGGCCTTTGCCTCAGGCGATAACGAAGTCTTAAGAATAGTTTTCGGGACTTTGAAGGGACTGGCAAGGAATTACTTATACGAGTTGATAATAATTTGTTACTTTTGAAAATTGTGCTTTCCCCTAAGCACTTTCGAACCACCGGTTGTCAACTTGAATGTACAACCGTTGCAATTTACTAAGTTAGGTGGGTTACCTAACACTGGTAGCAAGAATATCTTTAATTTCTTCCTTAAGACCATTTTAAAATTGTTGCTTCAAAACAACTCCCTTAATCCCAGCTATCTCAGCGGATAGATTAAAGTTTATAACATAATCGGCTACTGAGCCTGATTTACGAAGAAATAAGAGTTTGTTTCTAGCCTCCTTTGATTTTTCAGGAAAGTCAAAGCTGGCCTTAAGCATGCTAACAAACTTCCTAAATAAAAGTTTTACATATTTATTAGCTTTACTCTGAAATCACCAAAAAGCTGAACCAGCATAAAGGATCTTCTGAGAATCTTGAACAATTTTCCGACCCTTGAAAAATTTATGTCAAGTTAACACAAAGTATTTAAATGTTCTCTGTCAATTGAAAAAAGGCCTGGTTCTTTAACGGAAATAAAGTTGAAAGTAAATTATCTGCTTTGAAGTCCCAGTTGAAAACAATAGAGGGAAGACTTATATTCGTCGTAGGTTAAATGATGAACGTTTATATATCCTTGATACTTCAAAACTTACTCTTCAAGTAATTTAATTTATAAACTTTCTTTAGCTAAATCTGAGAGTTGTTTGGGCAAGACTTGCCGCAAAACTTTTTTTTAAGTTAATTTATGTTGTACCAGGCCCACCACTACTTTATAAAACTGTACATTTTAATAGAAAGTCCTCTATAATAGATTCTTCCATCCTTAAATAGGATAAAAAACAAAATAAGTAATTATTTACCTAAAAGAAACCATGGAACTGTGCGGTATAGATTTTGAAGATGGAAGGAGTAGATAGATACAGGTTAAAAATTTCTTTTGTCTATGCGTAAGTAAAATAGCCTTGTTAGGTCACCACTACTCCAAAGCCCACCTTAAGTGGAAAAAGTTATTTATTGATATAGCGAAGCTATTCATAAGCATTGGAGAAATAAAACAAGTCAATTTATAATTTGGTGGTGGTTAAAGACAATAAATTCGACATGACTTTAACTTTATATATAATTCTAATAATTTTCTACAAGGAACAATACTTATATATTAATATTATACATGCAGTGCTGTACTTAAAAGCAAGAATTGCATAATACCTCGTTACTTGAAAAAAAAAGGAAAACTTTCTATTTTACGAAAAGTTTTTTAAAAGCCCTCGATGTCCGTAGTCTTTTATTAATGAAAGCGTACTTATTTTTCACAGCAACTTGTATATTATATTAGACTATTACATGTTAAAAGTTTTAAAGAACTTTTATTTGTATTTAAAAAAAAATTGTTGTTAAAAAATTTAGAATTTTTAAAATTCCTTTTCTTGGTTATAGCCGTTCTTAATAAAGAATATAGTATGGTTTAATTAATTATTTAAAAACCAAATTTTTTATTGTTTATCAAAAATAAAGAGTATTTAGTATCTTTAATTACAGAACTACTTTCGCTTTAGCTAAGAAGAAGCACCCGTTACCTTTAAATCTACGTAAAGCTAATGCGATTGAATTTATTAAAGTCAAAGGTACTTTTTCTTTAAATTAAAAAAAAATGTTTTTTTCTTTTTATTTCTATATATCCAGGCGAAACTTGTGACGCACAACTCGCCGTTTTACTTAATTGCTATGCAGCTAATAATTTTAAGGATGAGTTTTGCAGTAAGGAAATTGAGTCTTTTAAGGAGTGTTCCGCGCGTTTGGTCTTCTTTTAACTTTTAAATTAAAAATTGAAAATTAACAGCCTCCAAAAAAAAATAGACTGGAGATAGGAAGATTATAAATCCTTTAAAACAGAAGCTTGATACTATTAAAAAAAGGAACAGAGTAGATACAAGAGGACCTGCAGGCCCTTAAACTTTTTGTCTCTCAGTATAATAAATTCTTGTTATTTACAATAAATTTTTTTTTTTCTGTTCACAAGTGACTCTACTTTTGAACAAAAGATTTTTATTTGCTTGTGTAATTCTCTTGACGTATATGTATAGGGTTGAAATTATTAATATTTATTAGTAATTTTAAATTCTTTTAAGTAGTAAAGCTTAATGTTTTTAGTATTAGATCTTTAAACCCACGCGGTATCCTTTAAAAAAGAGTAATTGTTTTTTTATTTTTTGTATTCGAGTCGTGTTCACTCTACTTAATTAGCCCCAAAATTTTGTTTTCAAGAAAAATTCTTTATTTTCAAATTGTAGGACATATTTTTTTATAATAATAGTACTTGAGCTTAAACATTAACCTACACGAGGCTATTGTATTTTTTTACAAAAAAAAAGAAATTCATAAAGAACTTACTTTTACTCCTTTATTGTAGAGTTATTAGTCAATTTAGAAATACTTCTTATTTGCCTAAAATTTTTTTTGTAAACTACTATTTAACACATAGTAATATAATAGAAATAGGATATTTCTACTCCACTAAAAAAATTTACTTGATATTAATAACTTTAAAGGGTTATTAGTTACTTTTTTCAACTTTAAGCCTGATACGGTAGCTGGTGGGTTGAAGACATCACCTGAAGAAATTGCATTTACATAATAGTTTATACTTTAGTTTATTTTCTTTACTCCTGTCAGCTTTTGAAGAAAGGCAATAATAGATTGGATTCTAATAAAATATAATTTTAATATATATTATTTTTTTAAAAGGAACGTTCTCCCAAAAAACTTGCAATGAAATAACTTATTTGAGTTTCAGCTAACATATCTTCTTTAGTTGACTTTTCAAGAATTTTAAAAATAAAATGGCTTTTGCTAAACACAACTTCGAAATGTATGATTTTTTCCCAAAGGCCTTCTAATCATTTTAACGTTCTACAATTCTTAAAAAACGTTGTTAATCTTTTTAATTTCTTATTTTTCTCTGATGGTTTGTTTAACAAACTTAAAAGGTAATAACTTACTATTTACTATAAAAATACCCTATGAAACTATTTTTGTTAACCTTCAAAGTCCAATTGACTCTTTAATAAGGTTAAAAAAATTAATTTCATTGCGAACTCTACTTTAAAACCTAAATTATTAGTAATAACAAGTTTTTATATTTTAAGATATAAAAACATAAACCTATATTTTTAAAGGCAATATAGCATTTCTTCCTAGATTATGAAATCCTCTTTTACTATTAAAACCGTTTAAATCGCTTTATTATTTTTATAATTTAATTATAAACTGAACTGCAAAAAAATTAATTTTTATTCTTAAAATTTAAATAGCATGAAAAAAAGACACTTTTCTTTACGCAAACCCTACTACAGATATTTTTGTATGCGATACTTGTATTTTTGCAACATCCCATATATTCTTTGCGATAAACAATTTTTACATTTAGATAATTTTTTTTAAAGAACTTTTGTATTTTATGATAATTTTTAACTTTTTGAAGATAAGGAAAATTATTCTTAATTTACATAAATACTATACTAATTCGGCGTCTTTATATGCCTTAACTCATCTTTGCAGTTTCCTGATGGCTACAGTTTAAGGCGGAATGGGGTTGTCGTCCTTTGATGGAACACATGCTTGATATAGGCTCGTCCCCTTCGATCATTTCAAAATTTTAACCAAGTTATCTAAACGAAAGTCTTTAAAATAAGTAAATAAACTTTTCTTTTGAACTTTTTTTAAGGCATTTTTTAGTAAGAACTACTTCATTATTTGGCTATCCATTTTTTATTTTATGTAGACTAATAAAGCTTCTTTTTATATAAGTTAATAATAAAAAAATTGTAATATACAATTAACAAATCAATTTTTAACTTAAATTTTTAAGCCCTTCTACTCGCGTAAAATCCCTTCACTTTTTCATTTAAAAAATCTTTATTTTTTTTTATAATTTTTTTAAATTTTTTAATAACAAAAGCATAAAAGTTACGCCACGCTTCGTGAGGCTTTAAAACTCTAATTTACTAATACATGCGTTTCAATTTTAACAGAACTAACAAAAAAAGTGCGTTTCGCTTTCCATTCCAGAATTTCAATGGCAAGTGTTCATCTTTTTTTTTTATTATAAATTTCAAAATCAAATGATATAAAATTTGAACTACAGACTTTTTTTTTAGTATTAAAAAAAAAAAATCAGAATTATCAGAAATTTTGAGGTCATTTTTAGTTTTTTTTTAATTTCATAAAGATCTACTAGTGAAAACTAGCCATATTAAATTTTTATTATAGAATTCGAATTTATTATAAACATACATTTTAATTCAATGTTTCGATTCCCATGTTTTCCAAAATGAACAAAAAAAAGTTTTTTAAAGTACTGTGTTTATGTTTATTTTTACTATATTAACTTTTTATCCTACATTTAAATTTTTCTAATATTATATATAATAATGAAAACAGTTATTTACTAATAAATTTTTATTGAGTTCTGATTTGAAATTTAAAATGTTATATAAATTCAAGCAAATGTATTATCACTTGGAACTGATTCTGATATATAAATTTATTATTGTGCTACATTATAGTTTCTTTAATATAATTTATATACACACATATATATTATTTAGAAATTCGTGCTATAAAATTTATTAATTTAATTTTTTTGATTATTTTTTTAAAAAATAAATTTACTTTTTCTATTGTATGTAGTAAAAATATTATTTACTGATAATGTGAAAGATTAAAATTTTTTACAAATTCGAGCAGATAATTTTATTAATTCAATTTTTATAATTACTCTTAAAAAGTAAACTTACTCTTCTAAAGTTATTTTAAAATAAAAAATTATTATTTACTATTAAAATGCATTTTTTTGGTTTTTCGATTTCAACTTTAAATTGTTCTATAAAATCGAGCAAAAATAATTTATTAGTTCAATTTTATAATTACTTTAACTCAATAATTTACTTCTTCTACTACTATTCATAATAATAAATATTTTTACTATAAAATGATTGTTTTTGTGTTTCGATTCGAACTTTAAATTGTTTTACAAATTCGAGCGAAAAATATATAAACTTAATTTTTACTATTTGAATTTACTTTTTCTAATATTATAAATAATAAATAATATTATTAACAATGAGATAGAATCTTTTATTAAAAAAAATCGTCTATTAAAATTTTTAAAAAATGATGATATCGCCTTTCGAAGCGTATTATCTTACATGACGCCTGGGGAGAGCTTGTTGAACTTTGGGTGAAACCTTTGCGAGACTTGCTATGTTCAATAGGAATCTGTCTTCATCTTGGCAAGTACTTACAAATGAAATCCATGGAGGTAAGAACTGTATAATGAGTAATGTTCTAGGGATACTACTGCTCAATTCCAGAGCCATTGATAGAATTACATAATTCGTCTAAGTGATGAACTCTATGCTAGTGTATAGTTTAGCGGTGCTATTAGTATGTATACTCGATCCGCCTTCCGAGTGATTGGATATGTGTAGTATTAGATTAGTGCTAATGTGACATATATGCGGTGGATCTCATTAAGCTTGCAGATATTATATTTGAAAATTGTACTCAAATTTATATTTTTTTTAAGAGCCTTTTTTTATTATAATTTTTTCAAAAAGTGAGCATACTTCACTAGAAAATTTAGGAGATTAATTTTTATAAATGTAAATTGTATAAACCCCTGAAAACGAGTAGAAAACCAACTTCAAATCTTTTTAGTAAAAATTAAAAAAAAAGGAATAAACATAATAAAATATAAACAGAAAAAAAATATTGATTAAAAATAATTCGAGAATTTAGTGCCCACTTTGCTAATAAGTAAAAAATAAAACAAAATTATGTGGATTTAGGAATATCAGAATGACGTCAAAAAGTGAAATTTTTAGGGAAAGTAGAGCAGTTTTCGCTAAAATTATAGTAAATTTAAACTATACGAATGCCGTAGAAAAGTTTGAGATTTTTTAAAAGTAAATTTTAAATTTATAAAAAAAAAATAAATTTAAATTAAATTCCAAAAAAAATTAGAATTCTTTTTAGCGTCAATGAATTTTTAAATAAGTGCGAAGCACGAAAATAAATAGTTAATGCAGATTTTTGATCAAGTTATATTATATATTGAGTAATATTTCTAAGACTTTTAAATCGTCTTCTATATACTGTTAATTTTAATAGATTTATTATTATTATAATGCCATCTACAAATTTTATTTCAAAAAAAAAAACAAAAAGTAAAGTGCTCCAAAATAATTTATAAAAAAATTCTTTTTAAAAAAGTAAAAAAAAAAAATAATCTTTTGAAGCCCTCATGTTATTATAATAATTAATATCAACGCCATCAACAACCAAAATAATAAATGCGGAAAATTAAAAAATCTTTTCAGAAAAAAATTTATATAAGTACAAAAATAATCTTTTAATGGTTTTTTTAAATTATTATTATAAATATTACTATTACTAATACCATTATCTACAAATTTTTTAATAAAAACGCTGAGCGATGCAGGAAAAATAATAAATTTATAAAAAAATTTATACGGTACAAAAATAATCTTTTAAAGTTCTCGAATTCTTATTAGAATTACTTTTAATGTTAGTATTATTATTTTCTATAAATTTTCTTAATAGAAAAGCCGAACGCGGCTCAATTCTTTTATAATAATCATCAACGACGGAAATAATTTCAAATCCAAAATGGAAGTAAAATTCAAGCGCCTCCTTAAAAAATTATTAACATTTTATAAAATTATAAAAAAAAGTAATAAAAAATTTTAATAGACTATAAAATAGTTTACGGCGCATTAAAAATTATAGTAATAAAAGGAAAACAAGATATAAAAATTCATAAAATTAGTAAAAATTTAAATTTTGTAAATTTTTTAAACGAATTATAAACTTTTATTGGTAAGAAAAGAAATAATAATTTAAATAAAAAGATAAAATGAATA